AACCCTCGGTGTAGGGTAGAGGAAGCGTTGAAGAGGTCGAGACTATATACGTGCCGAGGTCCGGCAGATGCCAACCATGTGCACCTGCCGTTTTGGGCGGAGAATCCTGCCTTTTTGAGCACGCGCGAGAGCCTGGGGGGGACTTCTGCGACGCTGATACTAAACGGGTACAAGCCTCCATTAAAGACAGTTGCTCGTCTACTAAGTCTTTTTTAAGAGGCGCAGGATCAAGCCTAAGTCCACCCACGCATTCGAGCCCTCCCGCACACGACACAGACTTCAGCCTCCTAAAATTTGTCTGGATACATTTGCTGACACCGTATATAATACTCAGCGTTCCGTCCCTGCGCCTGTGAGGAACCACAGAATGCTGCAGCTACAGTGGTTGGCTAGAGGCGTCAAATACAGCGAGCAAGAATGCATACATTGATGAGTCATTGATTACTATGGAAGCTACGAATATTGCTTAGGCCGCGCTCTTCCCATACCCTTCCAGCCGGATCGTTGTTACTCGTGTGGCATCGGCCTGTCCAGAGTAGCGGCCGCGGAGAGTAACTTATCCGCCTTGTTTGTGTAGTTCATCAAAACGCCTGATGCGCGAGTATGAGCCGATAGCTCTGTATCTTACGACTCTGTCACAAGTGCCCACACACCTCGTACATGTCAGTGTAAGCGTCTCGCAGGGCATATTGCCCCAAACACGAGGCGACCACGGCCTCAGGGCTTCAACATGAACATCGACAGCCACACGAGTCGACTCCTGAACATCTTCCTGTCCCGCCATGGCAGCCCTCCAAGTGGAGGAGAAACACAAACGCTGAAGAACTCCGACGAACCTTCTGCGAAAATGGCGAATCCATTGTCCAATATTGCGATAAGGAGATGGAGAGCGACGACGAGCTTGCCGACGATGAGGGCAGCGCTCAGATGGACTTGAGCGAGTACGACGTGTCCAACGGTGCATCCGACGCACGTGTCGATGACGGAGACATGTAGATGTCCGAGGGCGAGGGCGAGGGCGAGGGCGAGGGCGATGATTATGAGCAGGAGGGAGAAAGTGACGAGGATGAGCAGGAGGGAGAAAGTGACGAGGATGAGGGGAGGCTGACTGATCCAGACTATGTGGAGGAAGACGCCGGGGGGAGGAAAGCGAAGATTACGATGGGGAGGTGCGACGTGCTTCGCTTCGTGGAGGCTTGATTCAAGCTAACTGATGTTTGGTCATTAGGTCCACTCGTCCAAAAGAACGAAAAAAGCAATCAACATCCAGCAACACAACCGCTATTCGGGGCGGACCGAGAAACGGGACACTGCCGAGGAACAAAGCGTATGGAGTGCTCCCAGTAGCACCTCCCGCGGGCGCGTCCGTTTGGTCCTGGGAGGTATCCGATCATCCTCCGACGCCGCCGACAGCCACGACGACTCCGACAGTACGCTATATTTGCTGTCTGACTCAGAATGGCGTACGGTGGTATATGACTAGAATGCACATTCGCCGACGGTATACAGGACGAGGTGCGGTGATAGAGATCTATTGGAGAGAACCCGCATATTCATTGGCGCCAGGCATCAAATCTTGCCTGAGCGGTTGACTTGGAGAATGTGGGCTACCGATGGGTCGTGGAGTAGGCTTGGTAGGATCGGATACGGAAGGTTCGAGAGGTTGAATCGAGAAATTCATTGTCTCCGCTTCTCTTGTGGAAATGACACATCTATGTGGTATCTTTAATCGCCTCGCCTCAATGCAGGGCAAGGGCTCTCTCGCAATAAGCCCGGCCCACTTCCAGATGTTAATTCCACCCGTCAGCCACCGAGGACATATATGGCTTTCGTTCTCACGACGGTACTCCGGGGTAGCTGTGGCTGTGGCACTCACGGAAAGGGGGATGCAAGTGCAACAAACGCGGGACAGACGCACAGCATACTTTTATCTATGGCACTCAAGTTTATATTGATAAGCGTGGATACATACAATACCTCACGACCAAGTGACCCTCCATATATAGCCCACGAAGTCGCCACTCAAGCGAGCAAGGCCTGAATAGTCGCATTGAATGCCGGGTGGGGAACATAATTGTCTATTAAAGTGTCCTCAAAACATGAACTCAATACCAGAGTATCGATGAACGTACCATCGAAGAGCAGGGCATATCCCTCGCCGGGATACGTGGAGGGAATCCATGAGTAAAGGTCGGTGATACCCCAGGTGGTCTGCGATGCGTCAGAATATCAACAACTTGAAGCGGCAGCTCACTGGAGGCAGCAACTCACGATCCCAACGCAGGCAGCACCCTGTGCTTTGCATGCATTCACGACTGTGGCGTAGTCGCGGGCCTGCTGCTCAATGTCAGCCTGTGAAGGCGGGAGGTTCATCTACCGCAACGACCAGTATCAGCACAAGAGTCGTCTAGCGGTGCTACTTGACTGTATCCTACCCTGATATCGAGTTCGGTGACGGCGATCTCGACGCCCGCGGCCACAAACCGCGCGAAGTTCTGCTCGAGGTCCGGGGGGAGCTCGCCGACGAAGAAGTGGCACTGTAGAGCAGGTTATTCGAAGCCAATAACAAGGGAATTATATCAACCACGTACTTGGAAGCCAACACCGTCAACCAAGTTATGTGCTTTCATGCTCTGCACAACGGCGAGCAGTGCATCGGACTTGTTGTTGATGCCCTCAGTATTGTAGTCGTTCTATGTCATCGTGGTTATCTCGAGTTCATGCGTTTCAAATGATGATAGTACTCACGATGTACAGCTTAGACGGCGTGTTCACGGATCTGGCTACGGCGTACGCGTTCGGGATGTAATCCGGTCCGAGCTGGGTGTACCAAACGTTCTCCCGGTAGGTACCGTTGTCGTTGAAAGCCTCGTTGACAACGTCCCAAGCGTAGATATTGAAGCTCTCCTTGTAGTGTGTCATCACTGCACATGCGCAGATCTTAGTCGATCGAGTTACAAATTCGTGGAGAAGAGCGTACCAGTCGTGATGTGATTCACAGTAGCGTTCCATAGGTCCTCACCCGTCAGGGTCTCCACCCACGGTGCGAGCTCCCTATAGGAACATACCAATAAGAACCCGAATTTCCAATGAACAAGATTTGGTGTACTCATGACTTACTGGTACCAGACGAGATTGTGACCGCGCAGGACATAGTCGTTGGCGGCGGAGAACGCAGCAACGATGTCGCCACCAGTAAAGTTGAACTGGTTCCGCTCCGGCTCGATGTACGCCCTGTATAAGCAATCTACATCAGCTTAATAACGCTCTTGTGGCGTCTGATCCTACCATTTCATCTCGTTCTCCGGCGTGGCACCGTTGAACTGCAAGACAGCAGTCACATCAAACAGCGGATCATGCGTGAAATTCAACAGGTGGGGGACACCCAGAGCTGCACCAAAGTAGCGCGGTGCCGCTGCTGCCCTCAGCGTCTCGAACGGGGACGTGGGCAGTTGCCGTGCGAGGGGTGAGGCCCAGGCCGTCAACGCGTTGCCGAGGAGAAAGCTGAAAGCGAACCAGGAGGACATAGTCACGGCTACTGTTGGGAGTGGGCCGTCGATACTGCTTGCGGCTGCATGGAATTTATACAGGCCCAGTCGGATTTACTTAAGCCTCAAATTATTCAAGGATTGCTCCCGGACCGTATTTTTCAGGGAAGGGGAGCAGAATTGCGAGTATCGCATGACCTGATCCATCCTGTATGTTAGGAACACTACATAGCAGCAATAAATAACTCTAACCCATGGCTTTGTTGGGAACGGGGAAATGTCGGTTGGGAGCTTTGGGAGCCTCGTGGGCTGTCATCTCTCTGAGTGCGACACAGCATCCACCAGGCTTGTCAAGAACGGCAGAAAGGTGAAGCAAGAGCGCATGAACGTTTGACCACTACGAGCCTCCGAGGTCAGTAGCATGGAGAATGGTGAATTGCGCCGTCTGCGTTGTATCCAGCAGAGGGTCCAGTCGAACCTGACGAGGAATGTTTTCGGTTCACCATTTGATCACGAGCAACCTTTAAATTGGCAGCACGGGCAAGGTGGGTCTAGTCAAAGCTTACCGTGGGAATGTACGGACCGTGCCATACTGGTACGGCCACTGGGCTTCTCTGAGGCTTGAAGCCTTGAACTGGATGACCGACATGCACGAAAACCTCCCCAAGTAAGTACGGGGCTAATGGTGATTTATAGGTGCCCACCACCTGTCTACGACTTCCATTGGGTCTCGTACCGCTGAAATAAATTTTTCGGAACGCCGTCTCCAAGGCTATTGATACCGTTCTGAAGGACTATAACCGACGCGAAGGAGGGCGCTCCATTGGCTTTGCAAACGTCGTCACTAACGCAAGGGGAGGCTATCACTTCCGCTGTGAACCGGGCGCTCGAAAGCAACATGTGGTGTTATCAAGACTCGTAGACGAAGGGGCATCAGCCACAGCCTGGGATCTCCCCCCACGAACGCCGTCTCTGGAAGTGACTGCTTCATGTTCATACAAGGGGCCCTGGTTGTGGCAAGTCTATGGCGGAGAAGTTACTTTCGCGTCAGGTCCTTCCAATACCGTCTCTTGAACGACGATCGTCGCCATCAAAAATGACTTCTGGAGTGAGTCCAAGGCTATCGCAACCCTCTTGTCTGCCAATTGCGCCCTCTCCCACGACGTAGTGCGGTCTTTCCCAAGAGCTACTTGCAGCTACAACGAAAGTTATATCCACCTATCAGAGCTGCTTCTTCCGTCCCTGTGGTTGGGAGAAGTCGCTTCGTGTGGGTGGCCTGTCCTATTCCGTTGTAGCTTCTTGGACGCTCTTTTGTAAGCGTCCCATGCTTTCAGACAGATGTGGAGCCTGCTAATCATTCTGCATTAACAGCCTCACAGCGAATCGTATACTGGTGTGGTCGGTCTGGCTTGCAAACAATGCAGGCGCTAAGATGATCAGCTGTCGCAGGATTTGATGTTTCGCCGTCATATGCCTCTGGAGTGTAGACGTAGAGTCACGGATTCGCGGCACTCAAGCACCCTTTCTACTATTAATACAGGTACATAACTACATCCAAGCACTCGCACTATCTGCGATAAATCGTCCATCCTCGAGTCCCTGTACTAGATGCTAGCATAATGATGTTGTTTTCCTCTCCTCTTCCAAGAGTGCACAGACGACCGCGGCTCTAGATAATAAAAATAAGCGCAACAAAGCTAGATCGTACACGCTTCGCTTTTGTTTCTTCCAATTATCGTCATGCCCGGGGCGACAGCGCCTCCTATGTCTTCTTCAATGCGATAACGTCCTTGTCCTCCGCCTTGGCCTTCTCCACGTCCTTGTGGTGCAGGTGCTTCGAGTAATTGGAGTTTGAGGCGTTCGGGCCTTCGTCTTTGTAGAGCCCGTGTTCCTCAATATAATCGACGACAGGCGACGGGAGGAGGTACCGTACAGACAGACCTCTCCGCAGGAATAATCGCACCTAGTGCCGGGATGAGCGAGCGATCATTCTGACCAAGCGGCAAACATACCTTGGTGCTGCTAACGTCGTTCTGTATCAATTGGCTGATGAGATAGATGTTGTGTCGCCACCGCGCGAGATTGTCCGTCGCCTGGTCCATGTCCGAGCCTGCGCGCTCGATGATGAAGCAGCCGTACCGCCCGAGAATGTGATCGAGCTAGAGTAAAACGGGAGATGAACGTGAGACACCGGGTATCCCATCGAAACGGCAAGAACGGGGCGAATTCAATACTTACATCTTCCTCACTCCAAACGCCCGGCTCGCTCATGGTACTGATAAGATCAGAACCCGCGAGCAGCATCACTCTGACGTTGCGGTGCTCCCCGTCCGGTGTCTGCACGCCGCCGAGGACGGTGTTGATTTCGTAGTCGAAGTGGTCGAGCACGACGGCTGTACGCTGCACGAGCGGTCAGCTTGGGGGTGGACAACCTGAATGAGTCATGAAACACCTGGTACGATTGGAAGGCTTCCCATGGGTCGACCATCAGCCAATGCGACGTCTGCTCCGTAGCAAGCGTGCACATCGTTACTCTAAGCATTGCTCAGTATTATCCAACCGGGGATTCGAAGGATCGCTCACCGATGGTGTGCGGCTAACAATCCAGGCTTCTTGTACATGTCACTGACTGGACTGAGGTACCCGCCCATGATCTCAAAGTCTGTGTTCTGCCGCACGTAGTCCACCGCCATCTCGAACATTCGCAGGTGAAGATAAGTTACAGGGCTGAACGACCCGCATGCCACGAGAACGATGGGCTGCTTTTCGGGATTCCGTAGAACGCGATTTAACCGGTGGTGGGGAAAACTGTAGTTAGGCGGGTTGCTGAACGTCCTCGTCGGGGACGACGGTGGGGGCGAGCTAGTATCCATGGGGGATTGACGGTCAGGAAATAAATGGGAAAATCGAATAAAGATAGCGCAGCAAATACTTAAGGACTCGGGGCTGACACAGGATCCGTATTGCTCATTCAGCCATCATTCCCCTGGACCAATGTTCCCACGAGACCGGCTCCCGGGTCCGAAGTCATCGCTCCACATTGCCCTCCTGCCCCCTTCAAGTTGGTGGCGTCTCCGACTCCTCAACCGCCTTCATTACTGGGAGCACCCGTAACGGAGGAGTATGCAGCTGCGAGGTACGATAACAAACATTATACATGTACGTTCTGCTCGAACGTATTCCTTTGTAAGGCAGGGAATGCAGTTCACGAGACCTCAGCGTACTTCACAGGAGGGTTTGCGGACTCTCACGTTTCGCTTTCCAGAAACATAAAGAACGTGACAAATGGTGTGCATGCTACCGGCCTGCTTGGGTACTGATCCAAAAGTGAATCGTCTGCGTCACACCAGCTGCGCTTACTATTGCGTTTCGGATGGCTTATGTGGCTGCCTATCGCTGTCATCGGGGCACGCGCAAATGCGGAAGCCAAACCATGTTGCCAGTACTCGTATTAAACACTATGCATCGTTTCGTTTGCCCAAGGCAATACCCAGGTAACGCTCAATATGTGAAGTGTTTCGCTTCTAGGGAACATTTTATAATTCCGGGCTGCTGGTTGGTTATAACATCCAAGCTCATCTTGTCAGTCCATTCTACGAACTGTCCTGCTCTTAGCTTGCACTAATCCCTCCCTGCTGCAGCTTGCTTCCAAGGCGTTCATGGTGCCGCGATGAAACTTACAGCTATGAAACTTACATGGTCTGTCATTGCCGGACTGCATTATCGTTTTGCAAAGAACTGGTCCAGTGACTGAGCATCGGGCTTTGTTGCTGGAGCTGAAGTGCCTTACGCTGAGGTTTCACTTCGTATACAGATGCTTGCTCGCGGCAAGGTCCTTGGGAGGGAACCTTTCTGTTGAACTGGGCGCTGACTTAGCTGCCAGATTCTACAACGTACCAGAACGTACCGGAACCCTCTGGAACATTCTGGTATATTCCATTATTGTACAGGGCACGGAGCTCATGTGGGTCAGTGACATCATAGGTGGAGCTCAGTAGGATTATAGATATTCCACGTAGCTTAGTCAGCCTATGGGCCACAGTGTATATAAACCCTGCAGCTCTGCTGCCTAATGACAAGGGTCGTTCATACGAGCTTTACCAGTAGCTACAGCATCCAACCAATACAGGTGAGTTGTGTAGGGCGCACTGTGCGTGCTGCTGCCTCCATAACTCCTCATCAGGTTATGAGCCCAAATTAGGCAGCTTGCGTCTGCGCGGTAACTCGCTGCAGCGCGTTGCGCCTCGCTCACCTGTGCATCGCCCTATGCGCCCTCACAGGCTGCAGTGTGGCTTGATGCGTGATCATCGCCGTAGGCGCTGTTATCAGCAGCCATCAGGCTTGATGATCGATCCTGGGGTAACTCCCTAATGGAGCCAACAGCATGGAGCAGTGCACCCTTATCGGGCTGCATAGCTTCGCTGATACTGATGAGATCTCAATACAGATTTCAGATCTCTCAACCGCTCCGCAACAATGTCGAACAATCTGATCGCCGTTGTCCCCGTCCTCGACGGCTCGAACTGGCCTACCTGGTCCGAGCAAATGATGGCATACCTTATGTCCCAAGGCCTCTGGGGAAATGTGGATGGCAGCATCACGCAGCCAGCTGTCGTCGTCTCCGGTACCACCAGGGACTCTACCGCTGCTGACGCCTGGAAGGAAAAAGACGTCAGGGCTATTGGTACGATCCGTCTTCGCTGCTCTCCCGCCGTCGCCTCCTACATAAAGGACAAGAAATCGGCCAAGGAAACTTGGGACCAATTGTCTTCCCTCTATTCGTCTATGTCCCTCGGCGCCATTTACAATGAGCTGCGGGGGGCCTTATCGACGAAGATTCCGGCCGATCAGCACCCTGCTCCAGCCTTCGCGAAGATATCCAAACATTTCGACACTCTGGAAGCGGCCAAGGTCAAGATTCCCGCGCTTATTGAAGGTCTAATTTGCCTTTATGCACTCCCCAGCCGCTATGAGAACATTGCGCAGATGCTGGTCCAAGCTACCTCTGCTGACAACATGGGCATAGGTGCGGTACGGGAAGCAGTTACCACTGCTTGGGACCAGTCTCAAGGCAAGAAGCCTGAGAAACTCGGTGCGCACAAGATCTCGGCGGTGAAGCGTAAGCCGGGCGATCCCTCCTTTTCTTCGCAGCAGCAGCAGCGCCCTCAGGGCAGCAGCAGCAATGCGCGAGATGGGAAGAGGTGCCCTTATCGCGGCAAGCGCGCAGGCAAGAAGCGTCAAGGGCAAAACCACGATCACCACCATGCCCACGACGTCTTGATCGCCTCAACCGTCTCCCTTCCTCCTCCGGACCATCG